TCTACAGAATGTCTACCACGGTCCATCTTTAAAATTGAACAAATATTAAATTATATCAAATATTTCATACGAGTGCAATAGTAATAATAAAATGTGATTAAGAAAATTATAGAAAATTCGAACTAAAATATGAGTATATCAAATGTAACAATTTTTTTCCTTGAAAAACAAATTTGAACTACTTCTAATTAATACTTTAATGAGAAATGTACCAATTAAATAACATTAATATGAGAAATGTAACAAGTAACTAGTTTTTTTTCTGTAAAGAGAAATGTAACAATTAACTAGTTTTTTTTTACTTTAATGGGATATGTACCAATTAACTAATATTAATATGAGAAATGTAACAATTAACTAGTTTTTTTTACTTTAAAAAGAAATGTAGAGAAATGTAACAATTAACTAGTTTTTTTTTTACTTTAAAGAGAAATGTAGAGAAATGTAATAATTAACTAGTTTTGTTACTTTAATGAGAAATGTACCAATTAACTAATATTAATATGAGAAATGTAACAATTAACTAGTTTTTTATTCTTTAAAGAGAAATGTAGATAAATGTAACAATTAACTAGTTTTTTTTTACTTTAATGAGAAATGTACCAATTAACTAATAGGAAAATGAGAAATGTAACAATTAACTAGTTTTATAAAATGTATGAATGTGTATAAGTATATATATATATATATATATATATATATATATATATATATATATATATATATATATATATATACTATATATAATGTGTAAATATATTATAAGTAATATATAATATAATGTTTATCGTATATAATATATAAGTATATTACTATAAGATGAGTAATACACTTATATAAGTATATATTAACTAAATGTAATATGTAAATATAAGTAAATAACAATAGTATAGATAATAACTAAATATCAAGTAAATATGAATGTGTATAAGTATATATAGTATATATAATGTGTAAATATATTATAAGTAATATAAAATATATTGTTTATAGTATATAATAAATAAGTATATTACTATAAGATGAGTAATACACTTATACTAAATACTTTAATATATATATATATATAAGTATATATTAAGTAGTTATTAACTAAATGTAATATGTAAATATAAGTAAATAACAATAAGTATAGATAATAACTAAATATTAAGTAAATATTAAGTAGATAACAAGTAAATATTACTCCCTCCGTATCACATATATCTTCCCACTTCCAAAGTGGGTGAGATTAAGAATAGTGAAATGGGGTATGAATTATTGAGGATATGACGGGAAGATGGTGAAATAATGTGATGGAATGAAGGATAAATCCAAAAATAAGTAGGTGTAGTAGTGTATTATTTTTTAAATTATTGAGGGTATGTTGGGAAGATTTAGAAATGAGAAGATATAAATGTTACGTCCCAAAAAGGAAAGTGAGAAGATATGAATGTTACGGAGGGAGTACTAAATATTAGTAATATAATATATGTATTTATAAGTAGATAATTAATATATAAGTGCATATAATAATTATATAAATAATATATATGTACATAGAATTGGAGAAGATGAAGATGATTGAATATGAGAGAATAGAGAATTAAAGAGTAGGAAGAGTTGTAGAAGAAGAGTGTAAAAAATGTATAGAAAATAGGAGTATAAATAGGTTTTTTTGTATCCCCCACCCCCGGACCCCCCCTCCTAGGCCTCCAACGGCTATAGAGCCGTTTGGGAACAATCCCAACGGCTAGGAGGGCTTAAATATTAAAAAAAAATGGCCGTTATGGCCTGGACCGGCCGGGCCGGTTCATCATTTTTAAGGCCCGAGCCCGCACCGCTATATGACCGGGTCAGTTGGCCCGAACCGGCACCCAGACCGGTTCCTGGGCCGAACTGTGTACAAACAGTATCGGTCCGGGCCGGTTCTGGGCCGGTTCCGGGCCGGTTGGCCCGACCCGGGTTCACCCCTACCTAAGAGGCTAAGACTCTTAATGGCCATAAACATTGACAGAGAAAAAACACGAATATGAGGGCTTATACAGATTAAAACCCGCTTGGCAACATTGTAACATTGAAATTGTCTGAAATGGTTGATTCACAAAAATTATCCTTACATTTAGGAATTATACAATAATAATCTCTATTGAGAGTGTTCATAAAAATAATCTAAACTAACAATAGTGTCAACAAGAATAAATTGAAGTAAATTTAAATTAATGATCATTTAGTACTCTCAATTCCCTATACCTACTTTCCACATATGGCAGAAATGACGTTTGAAAGTAAACGAGTTTTGGTTTAAAATCACTCCGATAAGAAGAACTGGGAAGAGAAAAGTGAGAGTGGGAGTATTAAACACGAGCATTACTTTGAATTTATCATAATTTATTCTTGTGGACACTATTATTAGTTTACAAACATAGCACGAGTATGAATTATTATTATGAAATATATGAAATCCCTAAAAGTAGGACTCTTCATAAGATGGTTTACTAGCACGATATTATACAATTGCAATATTATACTTCATATATTTTAAGGGTGGAATCGGTCCGGTCTGGATCGGATGTTTGCTAAACCCGGAAATTACCCGTAAGGTCTCGAGTTATGAAAATTAGATACCCGAATAACGCCCATTATATTCGATTCGAGTCGGGGTTTTGGTAACATGGGCTCGGTCCGAGTTCGGGTTAGGCCGGTTAAAGCCCAAACATGAAATTATCTCATTGTCCTTTTATATTCAAACCGCAAATACTAACTCAATTATTAGGATGTTTTCTTTTGGACTGTTTTCAGTCTCAGACCAGTCCAGACCAGATCAGACCAGACCAGACTTGCGTAGTTATAAAATACACAGAGACCTGGCATGCATTTACCAGATCAGATCAGGCCAGATCAGACCAGACCAACAAATTTCAGTCCAAAAGAAAACATCCCTAGTCTCCAAAATCAACACCAATTCAAATCCAAAGAAGATAATTATCTTAATATTTTATTTAAGATGCATATAAATAAATAATATAGGTTTTCTAAAAATATTACGAAATAAAATTTATGAATAATAATGTGACTAAAGTTACTATACATATATTTTCATGGTCATTACAGTATACAAATTGAACATATTTGTAATCACTAAAAGTTACTAGGTCATTTTTTCATCCACCATGATTATAATCATATATTAGGAATTATTTATAAATTATATTCATATATTATGTCGATTTTATATTAAAGCTAATTGTTTCCCACCCTTATATATTTGGAAAAATTCACATAAATAATCTAAACTATTAACCGTCTTCCAATATTAATCCCAAATATGAGTTATTCAAATATAATCTAAACTATAAGGGGTATGTTCTCAAAACAAGCCGGTGACCCGCATAAACCTATTGAGCAGGTCACCGAAACACGTGGCCTATTTTTATTGGATTTTTCAATTATATTTGTTTTCCCTTTTTATTTTCTTTTCTTATTTCTGTTTCTTTCCTCTGTTTCCATCTTCCGCGTTTGTTAATCTTTTGCCAGGATGCCGCACCCACCCTATCATCTTTAGAAGCAAATGGCCGACCCCATCCTTCCTCATCCTCAGCAGATGTTTGTTAGATGAAGGTCCCCTACTTCATCTTCGCTAGAATATCAACACCCCTTATGACCACAGAAGCTGGTTGAGATAGAGCCATGGAGCGACATAGAAGACAACAAATCCATCAATATAGATCGAAAAATTTTCTGCAACTAATTTTGTTCCTATTCATTCGTTTAAGCTCTGTGAATTTCCCTCCTGACCCGTCAATTACATCTAGAGGGGAAAAGAAAAAGAATACCAATTAGGCAATTACCATAAACAAGAAGAAATTGGGGATGAACTAAGGGAGAGAAAGTGTTAAAGAAAACAGGGAAGAAAAGTAAATAAAATTGGGGGAAATCGCCGGCTTTGTGTGTTTTTGCCGGGTGTTGGTCGGAGAATCGGCGGAGAAGACAATCGGAGTAATGGTTGATCCACCCTATACTTTTCCATGCTTTCTCTTCGGCGGCCGTCATCTATCCACACCCACAAGGAGGGAATAGCTAGAGACGAGATCTCTATACCCCTTTCACCCTTTCTGAAAGCATTTTCTGAAAAAAGAGGAAAATTATGTCGGGAAGTGTTTGTGAAGATGAATGCCGTATGGACGGAAATGCTGAAAACAACATGTTCATCATTTTCCCCTTTTTATTATTGTTTTTACCTGTTGTGCAAGTTCTAGGTCACCGGGATTAATTTGAGAAGACACCTAATAAGTTTGGGATTATTTTAGAATTACTCATATTTGGGATTATTATTAGAAGAACGTTAATAATTCGGATTATTGATGTGAATTTTTCCTATATATTTTAATAGTCTATACTATTATATATTTGTAATAATACAAATAAATACTATTTGCATTGGTAACATAAGTTATTGAATAATTACATAATAATGATCAAAGTAAAAAAGTTGTTTACAAAAAATAAGATCTTTTAGGTGTATTGACATACTCCCTCCGTCCTCTTTTAAATGTCCCGGAAGAGGGTGACACGAGTTTTAAAAAAAGTGTGTTTGTGTGGTTGATATTATTAATTGATAAAGTAAGAATAAAGTAAGAATGATTTTGGGCCACGCAAACTTTACCAAATAAGGTATGAGACAATTAAATAGGGATATCCCAATATAGTAAAACAGGACATTTAAAGGGGATGAAGGAAGTAATAGTTAAATGATCGTCACATTAAACTACAAAAGTAACAAAACTATTAGTTATGTTTTTACAAATAAGTCTTAATTGAGTATTATTTTCGAAAGAAAACCTCATTCAAAAATACATTTGATAACATGTAAAATACAAAAAAAGATGGAAGCGGTTTGGTAGACAGTAGACTAGAACTGTACCAGAAATCGCTATTACCCAACACTAGTCACAGTTCCCAGGTGGGGGATGGACTGTTGCAGAACCATCCCACGCACGTCCACCCCTAGATCACCTAACTTGAGTAATGACATTTAATATACATTCACAAAGAATTTGTTATCAAGCACAAAGTACAACAAAATGTTTAAGCTATCCTCAAGTCATAACTTCTTTAATCAGCTAAAAGGCTGGAAAGGAGCGATATACAAATGATGAAACAATACACACATGAAATGCTTAAGTGGAGACTATGAAAATGAGATCAGGGAAAGGGTTGAGACTATGACAGCAAATTCACCATGAATTGAAACACTACATTTGACAGGCAGAATAAAATTAAAAACAAAACGGGAATGCTAAAGTGGGAATCTCAAACAGAGCAGCAATTGACATTCTTAAGAGCAGAAACGTCACTCTTGCCAACGTCTATAGATTGCCCCTTTGGTGGGGCTGCCGGATCATCCCCAACCTCAAGTGCTTTCCGACTAATCACATGATATATCTGAGTTAATACTTCTGTGAAGGCATTCTCGACATTCAATGACTCGAGAGCTGATGTTTCCATAAAGTAGGTCTTCTCTCTTTCTGCAAAGGCCTTTGCATCCTCCGTAGAAACAGCTCGTAGGTGACGTAGGTCAGCCTTATTTCCCACCAGCATTATGACAATATTCTGGTCAGTGTGGTCTCTAAGCTCTTTTAACCATCTAGCCACATTTTCAAATGTCACGTGACGGGTAACATCATATACAAGCAAAGCCCCTACAGCCCCTCGATAGTATGCACTTGTAATGGCACGGTATCTATCATGTTTCACCGAAAATAGACAGAAACAGATGGAATATGGTCAATCTCCATGCATCTAGTCATAATAATAATGACACTAACTCTAGCACTAAAAAGGTAACACTTTGGCAGTTCAACAATAAAAGAGGTTGAAAAACGGGACATGGCCTGTTATCTCTATAAGCAACAAAGTGCAATTTGAAGTCCAATTGTAAAATAAACTAAAGGTGAAGGAGAGGTGATGAAAGAAAGTCTAAGTAAAGAGAGTAACACAATTTTAGGGCAGTTGAAAGGTAAAAGTTGAGAAGACAGTACTGAAAGGAACATCATCTTGCAAAAAAATGATAAAATGAATCCAAAGACCTTAAATTAGATACTAAAAACACGAGACAAAAATGTCTTGTATACTACTCAGTAATGAATTTTTCCACATTTAGTGTTTGAGACTATTTCTCCATCATTTACAATGACGCCAAAGACTCACTATTTTTTTTGGCTTGGGAACATGATGGAATAAAACAAAATGACTCATTAAACTGCACGCGCTTCTTTCTTATGAAACAGCAGCCACTGCATGCAAATTTTTGGCACGAATTTCACCATGGGTCATCCGGAAAAGTCTATTTGTGCTTTAGTACAAATGTAAGACTGCATACACCTTTACCCCACCTGAGGTGGGAGCCTTTATGACACTAGGGTAATATTGTTGATGATCTTGAGACCATTGCGTGTAATGTCACTTTTAGTATTCGTCATAGTTTTTTCGCCATTTAGTCATTCGCATATTGTGAAATCCACACATTTTTGAATTTTTCAACACAAATTGGAGCAACAAATGTGTCACTATAAGAATAACAGACCGGTAAATATTGATAATCAAAAATTGTATAAAAATGATTCAGTCCCAATAAGTAGCGGATTAGCAGTGGACAAACAAAGACAGGTACTGCAAAAGCATCATTGTATCAATAGCTAGAGGATTAAAAGTGCAAAAACCTTGCTTGGTAAATCACGAAAACCAAAAACTGCAGGCACACTTAAAGCCAACTTAGCTAATCTTCAATAATTAAATTGGTTGATCACTGTCGCATATTTTTGCATGGCAAAATTGGAACCTATTTGGTAACACGAAAGTTGGTTAAATATACTTGACTGGCTGAATGATTGTTGAATTATAAAATAAAGAAAAATACTTATGAAAACGGCCATAACTGTCCTCTTTAGTAAATTCAGCCAGTTTTGTAAAACAAAACTGCCTCATAAGGAAGGCTAATAAGCCAAAAAACATGGATTACCACTTGGTGTAAACAACATTACATTGTTGCAAAAAAAAATTATGAATTTGACCACCAAATATACTGGGTTATTCAAAATTCTCAGAAACCTTCCAAAATGAAGACTCAGAATCGTTCTAACAATGTTGTTCTTTTAAATAAGAAACCTCATAATGACTTGTTTCTAAACAACAACTCTTCTCATCAAACATGCATATATTTGGAAAATTATACTTATATTAACAAACCACATCACAGCTAGCAGTAATGAGATAAACTAAAACAATAGATACAACAAAACTCAACAATTCCACATTTCCACCAAAGCAGTGACTTCCAAATTCAACAGACTCATCAGTTATCTCCATTCAAGATCGAACCATCATATAGATTGATCCGCACATTTCCAAAAACGAAAACCAAATAGAGCAACTGTATAAAAACCCTAGATTTATCATCACTACGCTCAAGTATCCTACAATCAAACCATATCGTTTCTGCTGTTTAATTTCTCCAGCAACCCTGTAGCTAAAATTACGTGGAGCGTGAATGGAGAAAGCAAGAGAACGGAAGTAAGTACCTTTCTTGGCCGGCGGTGTCCCAAATCTGAGCCTTGACGACCTTGTCGTCAACACGGATGCTGCGAGTGGCGAACTCGACACCAATGGTGGACTTTGACTCGAGGTTGAACTCGTTCCGAGTAAATCGGGACAGCAGATTTGACTTTCCGACGCCGGAGTCGCCTATCAGCACTACCTTGCACAGGTAATCGTAATCATCGTCTGATCTAACATACCCACCGGCCATCTGTATATGTATATATCTACACAGTGCAATCTGTGATCCAGTATATCTACTGCGTAGTTTTAAATTTTTGGAAGTAGTAAACGGCAACTAAAAAATATGCTTCAGCGGGCAGTGCGATTTGGGGGAAGATCAAAGAGGAAACGAAAAGGTGAGCTGTCGCAGAAAGTGAGAAGAGAGACGGTGGAAATTTGGAAATTATTTTATTGCTGTGAATTGAAAATGAGAAATGCCGTTTCCTTTTTATTTTCAAATTTTCCTTCAGCCGCAAGTAGTAGGGCTGAACACAACCCGATCCGAACCTAAAACCCCAATATTTTTTCCGAATATTATCCGAACCGATGTGAATATTCGACCCGAAAAACCCGAAATAGAAAATCCGATTAGTATTGGGCCTAGACCGGGTGGTGGGTAGGGTTTGTGAAATCCCAACCCGACCCGCCCGAACATCCGAAATATAGGTTAGTGTGTACTTTGAATATTTAAATTAATACTTGTGTTCAATTATTTGTGTAATTATTTGTGCAATTTGTATTAAATTATTTGTGTAAATTGAATGTGTAGTACACTAATGTGCTTTAAATGAATATTTTACATTATGTTTGTTTATGGATGTACTATGTGTGAATGGTATTCAAGATGCCTAGTATAGTATGGATGAGTTGGACTGCAGTTGACTATTTGTACTGTACGGCAGGTTGTTGACGTGTCCGGTGGGTCCGGGGCATGACAATGCTAGTATCACAGCTCAGTTCATAGCCCGTGAAATTATTGATCTTCTTCATACTGATGCATCATTAAAAGTCCGCACTATTAGTAAGCTTATGAAGGAAAAGTACGGGTATGTACCTTCGTACAAGAGAAGTTGGTTGGCTAAGTAAAAAGCTATTGGTGAAATATTTGAGATTGGGAGGCATCGTATTCTGACTTGCCTCATTTCATGTTGGCATTACAGCACTCCAATCCAGGGATGGTCGTGCATTGGTACCCACCTCTTTCAAGTACCAATGACTTATTAATAGGAGTATCTTTATTGTATCATATTAAATTTCATTTTAAATTCGTCCCCCTAATTTTCTCCGTTTTTCAGGTACCACTGACGTTGTGCAGTTTCAAAGAGTGTTTTGGACGTTTAAGCCATCCATTAAGGGCTTTAAACATTGTCGTCCTTTACTGACCATCGATGGAACACACTTATATGGGAAGTATAAAGGTACATTGTTGGTGGCAAAGGGTAGTGATGCTAATAATCAATTGTTCCCTTTGGCGTTTGCTATTTGTGAATAAGAGAATGGAGATAATTAGTCGTGGTTCCTTTGAGGAAGAAATCTTCAAAACCAACCCGAACAATCCTTCCATCTCCCTCTGTGGATATTGCTCATACATCTACAACAGTGATACTAGAAAATTCCCACCCTCATACTGCTGCAATTAGTGATCATGCTAAACTTTCAAATTTCAGAGTCTGTTCTGATGAAACAACTCATCAGAAATTGTTTGATGACCTGAGACCTGTTGTTGAATGTTCAGGGAAAACCGTGTTACCTACTGGCTTAGGATATACCCATACTTCTGATAAGAATCAAGGTGATCCTGGTGATGATGATATACAAAATGCCTCAGGAGGTGTGGACAATCTCATTCATGACACAAATCTTCCAGATTCGAATATTGAGGGCCTTGAGGCTGCTACTGCAATCCTGAATAATGATGGTGGAGGAACTGCTATACTAAATGATGATGACCCAGAAGTGAGTTGGACACAAATATTCAGTGATGCCTTTGACCTTTATGATCCCAATGTATGTCCTTATATATAGACTTGTCTACTTCTATCCACACACTACATTATTACTTATTGTTACTTATTTATTGTTTTTTAAATTGTGCAGCCACCCATATTGTCAGTTATATCTCCTCTAAATGATTCTAAGGATTTATCCCCTAAACGAAATGAATTGTCACTTCCTCCAGTTGAACCCTTTACGCCAACAACTCTTTCATCCATGCCTCAAGTGTGTGCATTTGTTCATATTATTATAATGTCAATAGTAATGCAAGAACTTACTTTCTTGTTTAAAGTAAAAACTTGCTTTTAAAAGCACATATATGTGTCTCATTTTGTTTACTGTATACGTAGTCCCTCCTCACAGTGATGATGTTATCCAAAATGACGATGTACATGCACAACACTCTAGACCAAAACAAAATGCTCATTCACCCACCTGATATACTCCAAGAAGTGGTGCCATAAGAAAGGGGAAAAAACATTGAGCTATCCAAGATATTTTCCCCTTCCATCAAGATCTATTCGCCTTCTTCAAGATAGAATCTGAACGTGAAAATTTCGTTGTGTCACGCCCCAGACCGCATCCGAGCGCGTGTACAACCGCCGTATGACTAAATGACGTCACTCGCAAGTCAACGTGACTTAATCATACAAGGCGTCCATGAACATTGTTCATACCATACTCAGTAAGTTAACATACATAACAACATCACATATTTGGATTGAACGAAACACGGAAATATTCAATATTCAACCATGGGCCACATATGGCCAAAACGTGGACTCGCAGGCCCAAAACAAATGTACTTATTACAAAATATCCATGACCATAGTTTATAGTTTAAAAAAGTAAAGGAAGCACGAACCACGTCTCCCTTTAGATCACTTCACCGAGCAAGGTGAGAATAGCAAGCTTGAGCTTCAACCTGAAATGGTGGCCCCCCCCGAAGGGGTCAGTACAAGTACCGAGCGAGTAGCAGGCTAAATGTAGAATAACTAACGTTTCAAGTACAAGACCCAAACATAAGGTGATACATACGCGTATAGTTCTTTTCCCCAAGTTACAAAATACATGTCAATATATATATACTTGGAAATACCCGACCCGTAGGTCATTGTTTATTTGGGAAAATAGTATAGTCAATATCCTTGACTTAAACCCCAACCCACCCATATACCTATGAGTGTATAGAACTCCTCCTGGTTCAAATCATCTTAACTTGAGGACACCGCTCGGTCCTAAGTTACAAAATAGTAATCTATGAGTTTTTAGGATACACGCCCGATCCTTGGGTACTCCACCCTATATAACTGAGTTTTGAGGATACACACCCGATCTTTGGGTACTCCACCATATATAACCGAGTTTTGAGGATACACGCCCGATCCTTGGGTACTCCACCCTAATACCGAGTTTTGAGGATACACGCCCGATCCTTGGGTACTCCACCCTAATACCGAGTTTTGAGGATACACGCCCGATCCTTGGGTACTCCACCCGACTTATGATCTACCACATATCATCCTAGATAAGGTCTATATCATAATCAATAATCAAGACTAAACCAAGTCTTAAGGCCTAAGCATAATCATCCATGCAATACATGCATTAAAAATCAACATATAGGCAAAACAGTGCCAAACCGGCACCGGTTTTGGCATAACCGGCGCCGGTTATTAGTTAAATTAGTTAAACCGGCCATGCCGAACCATAACCGGCGCCGGTTTTGCCTATAACCAGCGCCGGTTACCCCCCTGGGCAACCTAGTCAACATTTTCGTTGACTCGCCATTTCAAACCCGATTTGCGTCAAACTTAATCCCAACGTGTATTAAGTTATAACCAATCATTTTATACCATGTTTATCCTTTAAAACATCATATAAGTTTTTATAAACATTTCCTTATCATACATCATTTATGATAGTCGTGGTTCATTCCATGTAAGCCCAATCACTTTGGCTAATTACATGTTTAAGCATCCTTTAAACATCATAATGAACACATATAACATTTACTTAGGTAATCTCATACTTAACCCAAGAGTTATAAGACATTAAGCCGTCCACTCACCTCGAATGAGCGTGATGAAGTTCTACCCTTCTCGGTTGAACTTCGGCCAAACTCCGACGAACTTTGACGAACTCCGGCGATAACTCCGGCGACTCTTTAAACTTTGTGAAAGCTCTTAAATCACCTTTTACAAGTTCCTAACAAGGTTTTATCATCACAAAACCCATATCAATACAAATAACCTTTAAAAGGTTATTTTCCAGCTAACCAGTCGTTTTGGCTCCTAAGTCCGTTCTTGGACATAGAACCACCTCTCAACCCTTATTTCTACATTTATAAATATGTAGAGCTACTAAAAGGGTTCCTTACATGCTATGTAATTCATATGGTGGTTAAAGAATAGAGGAACAACTAATACAAAGTCATTACCTTAATCACCACACTTTTTCTTCCCTTTTTCCTCTCCTAATCTTCTCCCTTTTTCTTGTTGGAGCTTGAGATCGAGTTGGCTATGGAAGGTGAGGGTTCAGAGCTCCTTCTCCTTCTTTCCTTGGTGCTGGACGAGTACAATGAGTGGGAGAGGAGGGAGGATAGTGTTTTTGTCTTTGTTTGGCAAATGGTTGAGGTTATGGGTCCATTGGGTGTCAAAATGGTCTCCCATCCCCTCAATGTCTTTCAGCCACATTTGCTCTCAAACCAGCCTCCAAGAGCTGGAAATTTCGTGGGTTGGCCCCCACTTATGTGGGAGGTCACCCCTTTTTGTCCAGAAGTGTACAATCGGTCCCGAAAGTTGTATTTTTCGGACTGTTTTAAATATATTTTATTTTATCGAGTCAAATAAAATGTATATTATGTTTCCACTCATTACGGTCCTTTATAATGAGTATAATTTCCCCAACTCCAATTTGGAAGTCTCCGAAATTCATTTCGGACTGTTATCCGATAAATTATCCAAAACTGGTTATTGGGCCTCGTTGACCAATCGGTCAACCCAATGCCTTTTGTTATGGCCCAAAATGAATGTCCACCACCATATAACTATTATCTATACCAAGATGAATAAAATATGCGGTCTCGGGAATATCGGGTGGCCCCCGCTCCCGGTGTGGGCCCCACGTGCAATTTATTACTCACGCAAAAGGATTAACAAAAATTTACAACCTCGTAAATTCATTAACCATTTCATAAGGTTCAATACATAATTTACACCAAGGTAAATATACTTGGGGACGGTGTTACACGTTTACTATATCATGGAAGGTGTTGTTAGAGGACACAGAGGAGGTAGCTGGCGATGAGGCTCACCAGCGACATACCGCCGAATCAAACGATATACATTAAGAACTTAAATGAGAAGGTCAAGAAGGAAGAGTTGAAGAGGTCTCTTTACTGTTTATTCTCACAGTATGGCAGAATAGTGGACATCGTTGATTTGAAAACAACTAAACTTAGAGGGCAGGCCTGGGTTGTCTTCAGCGAAGTTATTGCTGCTAGTAATGCAGTGAGACAGATGCAGAATTTCCCGTTTTATGAAAAACCAATGCGGATACAATATGCAAAAACCAAGTCTGATTGCATTGCTAAAGCTGATGGTACTTATGACAAGAAAAAGAAGGATGATAAAAAAGCTTACAAGAAGAAACACACAAAAGAAGCAACTGGCGCAGCTAATGGCCCAAGAGGCGCAAATGGAGGTCCAAGTATGGCTGCTGCTCGCCAGGGAAAGTCAGGAGGAGCACAAGAAACAACAGAGCCAAACAATATACTATTCATACAGAATATGCCTCATGAGACTACAAGCATGATGTTAGAAGCTCTGTTCTAAAAATCGTTCTAGGCGCCCGATTAGTCCCCGCCTAGGCGCTAGGCAGTGGTCGGGCGCCCCGATTTTTGTCTAGGCGCTCCGACTAATTGGTTTGCCGCCTAGGTGAATTAGTCGCCCGCCTATAGCGCCTAGTTGCCCGCCTAGATTGCCTAATCGGCCGCCTAGGCCGTCTAGATTTGCCGAACATTACTTTACTTTTTAATTTTAATTTCCAAGTGATATGCGTATTTTAACTTTAGCCATGGATATAAAGAAATGAAGTTGTAAATTAAAATAAAACTATAAACGTTTGTATATGCTCCTAAATTTTATCATTATTTATATTTATAACACAATGAAGTTAAGTGATTAGTTATCAATCTTATCATATACTACATATGATTAAATGTGATAATTCTATCTTTCATGTTTGTTTATGTATATGTATATATGTATTTTATACACACAACAATACAATATTACTTATCATATTTATGCAAAAATATAGATAAAAATGCAATTTCGATGTCTCCGACTAGTCCCCGACTAGGCGCCCGCCTAGCCGCCTAGGCGCTAGGCGCTGGGTTGGCGCCCGACTAGCGCCTAGCGCCTTTTAGAACATTGGTTAGAAGTAATGTTCAATCAGTACCCTGGGTTTAGGGAGGTCCGGATGATAGAAGCAAAGCCAGGGATTGCCTTCGTGGAATTTGAAGACGATGGTTAGTCTTCTGTTGCCATGCAGGCCCTTCAAGGCTTCAAAATTACACCGCATAATCCCATGGCTGTCACCTATGCCAAGAAGTAGCGACACTCCCCATCCACATCAAACTAAGGTGTCATCACATGATATTCAAGATTTTTGTGGTGGTCCTATGTTTAACTCTTGCTTCTCATATTCTGGGTCTCCCCATGTATGAAGCGTTTGATGCCCTGTAATATTTTGATTGATTGGTTCTCAATCTCAAGAGAAACATAGTTGCGGAATCTGGTTACTTTTTGGCGAAGTAAATTACATTCTAAATTCCTACCAAAAAAAGTGTTGTTAGAGGACACCAATCATACTCTAGGCTGGTGAAGTACACACCTGCACATGATACTACTATTTCCCTTGTTCTCGAACCCAATTTGGAAGCTAAAAATAAATCATGGCTTTGTCGACTACGCTAATCAGGTCAATGGCTTGATGCTACGGTATGTTTCTATATGATTATCAAAAATAAAATGCTTTCCTAGTTATATTAGTGACATAATAGTTTCTGAAATCTCTTTCTTTTTCACATTTCAGCATCTAGACATTATAAGTCTTTACTTGCATGTCAAAGCTGCTACGTATAAATATCCTGAAAAATTCTCAACTACTGAAACATACTTTGTTTCATACCTGAATGAGCGTTATGATTCTTACAAGAATGGTAAAAGTCATCTATCTGCAATTGCTAAAGACTTATATTTGGAAGACACTCTAGCAGAATATGACTCTTAGTTCTTGCACCCATGGCTAGAACCTGACTACATCTATTGCACTATAAGCATTGAGTTCTCATTGTTCTTGATATTCAATCACACACTTCGTATGTTTACGATACTAACAATAGACATGCTATTTTCCAGCAAAGCATGGTTAAAGAAATGTGTGGACTGATCCACTATCTTCTGATTGTTTTTCATATTTTAAACATATTTCTTTATAATAAAGTTTCATATTTGACTACTCTAAGTGACACGGTATTGGATTCTTGCACGTTTTTTTATTGTGCTCTTGTTGTTTACATCTCCCACACTTTTGCTGCTTCACATATTCACCAGTTGATGGTATTCTTCAAATCTTTGGTCTTTCGGCTGCACGTTTTTCAGATACCGGTGGGTTGATGACCCAATTTCTAATCCCGCTTGAAACATCAGCATCATAGTACGAACCCAAAGGCTCAATGACTCCACCATATTCCTCCAACCATGGATTACTCTTGTAATACGTTGAAATATAGTCATATGCCAATCTTGGCCTTGCTCTTATTGACGCTACAACATGAACACATACATATTCCTCCACTAGCATGAATATCTACAACATTTGCCATGCATGCTTTGTCAATAACCTCAAATTTGAAAGTAGCGGCAGGCCTTACCTATGGTTAATTAAAATCATAAGATAATTCATACTCCCTCCGTCCCAATTTACTCAGCCAAACTTGTTTTTTCAAGTCAATGGTACCTAACTTTGACTGATTATATATCTATATAGAAAAAATATTAATAATATAAAAATTATATGAAAATGTTCTTTGTTGAAAATACTATTATAAAAGTATAAAATTATTAATTTTTTCATAAATATATTAGTTAAAATAATTGGTCAAAGTGTACCACCTTTGACCGGAAAAGTCAAGATTGGCTAACTAAATTGGGACGGAGGTAGTATTATTTACTAAAAAGTAGTTTCATTTCATAATTTGAAAATGCTACTCAAAACTAAATTAGAACTTATTATCATTTCGGCAGAATCGTTGAGCGACTTCACAAGCACATCTTCTGCTTTTCTTGATAATGGTGTTGTATTTGCAACAACTTCTTTTCTTCTTGCATTGAACCATTCTTGCATCTTTGTTCTTAAAAATGCAATCAATATTGATATTGGGTATTCCCTTGCAGTTACGTTCAATGCATTCAGTGGTTCTGCGTTATTAGAAGTCATTATCGAGTATCTCTTGCATGTCGTTTGATTCCTTGACCTTTTCTTATCACCAATTTTAGCCAGATATTGTCGAATCCTAGGATCCTTTGAATCAAGCAACTTCATGTAATACTCACTAATGGAGTATCATTCCCACATACCCCAAGGGTACCACAATCGGCGGACGAAAGACTTCCAGACATCTCAAAAGTACAGAAGTTCCAGCTGAGGCCGACCTCGACACTCGAGGTCGGGACTAGACACAAGACAACAAATTGACAAAGGCCAGAAATCTAGATGAGGCTGACCTCGACCCTCCGGGGTCGGCACGAACACCGAGCTCACGGATGACCCGGATAAGGCATAATATGAGGCCGACCCCGGGCACGCTCAGGTCGGTTCCTGCTCCGACCTGTGGCACCGATGCGGGGTCAACTGAAGTCAACGGAAGCCAGTGTGGGAATCGCCGCTACCGGATAGAAGACCAGGGATGAATTCTCCAGTACGAGTTCACCCTCCCCGAGCTCTGACCTCCGGGTGTTCGGGATCTCACCAGCCAGATATGGACTAAGACATTTTGTCAGTCAAAAACTGCGCAAGCTACCACCACGTCACCAACATCACTCCAGGCGCCACGTGTGACACCTCAAAAAATTGAAAATAAAATAAATAATTATGTTAAATGATAAAAAGTGGCATTTTAATAATTCAGTGAATCAGATAAAGTTTTAACTTTCGTGACATTTTAGTCAAACAAAAATATTGATATATGAGCACAATAAACAAATAAAATATACAAAAGTTGAGGTATGACTATACGTACGTATAGTTATATAACTAATCATGAATGTAGTATCAAAAAGATAAAAACGTACGTATATTTAAACGTGCGAAATTTACTCCATGGAACCTAAACCTAGAACAAGTCTAAATACATAGTACTATTAACGTACGTAACTCACAAGCCTACAAGAATATATCTAGCAAAGGAAAGTTTATAAATGAAAAATTAAAGCTAAAGATTTCGTAACATATGAAATTGATGATTGGAACCATCGGCCACTTATATAAATAGCGGTGTTATGATTGATTAACTCGGCACAAGAACAAGAGGGTGACGTAAATAAGGGAGAAAAGCGTTAGAAAGGAAGACGGAGAGAGGGGGAGCGGGCTTGGCCGGAGAAAGAGAAGGACGGCCGGACTGACGAGATGATGCGTCGACTACTGGCCGGAGTATACATCACCGGGAGAGGGCCGAACTGTTGGGACTGGGTTGCCGTCGACACCAGAGGAGAAAAGACATGCCGGAGTTTCTGTCGGACTGACTTTCACGCCGGAGAACGATGAAGAAGCCGGACTGCTATCACTGGACCCCCACGCTGCCACCAGAGACAACGCCGGATGCCTCTCCTGTGGTTCGTGCGATCTCACGACTCGGACGCCGGAGGAGACTCGCATGCAACGTCGCCGTCCTCCCCCCGTAAGACCAACTCTGCTATGCGAAATTCTGTATAAGATGGGGCTGGACAATAATAATAATAGTGTTGATAATAATAATGCAATTAGTAATAATGATAAGAATATTGAAAAAATAATAATTGAATTAGTAGAACTTTAGATATAATTTGATATTATTCACTTATAATGAGTTTGTCACTTTTAATTGGGATTATGATTTAAACAGGAATTTTTTTAGATTGACTATTGAATCAAAAGGCCAGGCAAACCTAAATATTTTTTTTATAACCAGATTGATTAAATAATATTTTATATGGATTATGTAGATTATACTATTTACAAAATAAAATAAAGTGGACCGATAATATTTAAATATGACTCGATTATCTACTTAAATTTATGGTATTTGATTAAATACAATTATTAGTAATTTTGTAAAATGATTAGTAAGTTAAAAAAATGGATGGACCGTCTATATTATTTGACAAGAACAATATATGGCATGGGATTAATTATTATTACAGTAAATGAATAAACTTGAGAAATAAGAATTTTGAGATTTACTAACCGAACTGGATATAAGGGGAATTGGGTAAGGGATAATTAAGACTAGAGTATTTATTAATCTTAAAATTTTAACATTGTTAGAAGGTGATTATCTAGAGACCAAAATAGAAGACGTGAAGTAGAGACTTTGATTTCGTGTAAGTTTCTCTGCCAATCCAAAATTTGTTTCCTCGTATTATATGCTTATTATGCATTATGTGATTAAGTGTGAATTGTGAA